CTGAGAACCCTTTGGCCAATGATGCTCCTGACCAAGCTTCAGACTGCATTTGGTTTAAATCCCTTCACTTGTATAGTAGGAGAGAAAAAATCCTCTACTTCCCCTATTTGGCCCCGCCCCTCTGCCCCCAAAGAGGCCACACCCTCCGTTTATACAAACTTGAGTCTCCTTTGTCCAAAGATGCTCTAGGACAAATTTGGTCAAAATCCTTCTATTGGTTGAGAAGAAGAAGATTTTTAAAGATTTACCTATTTTCCCCTTATTTGGCCCCGCCCCTCTGCCCCCAGGGGGGTTATACCCTCCGTTTATACAAAACTGAGAACCCTTTGGCCAATGATGCTCCTGACCAAATTTGGTCAAAATCCTCTGAGCCATTCAGGACAAGTAGCATTTTAAAGGAAAAAGTTGACGGACGACGGATGACGGACGCCGGACGCCGGACGCTGCACCATGGGATAAGCTCACTTGGCCCTTCGGGCTAGGTGAGCTAAAAATAAATTTCTACTATCAAAGATATAAAGTTACAGTATTGAGTATAAGATTAAGATAATGACATTGTATGATAAGAGTAAAACTCAAATTAGGAATAGATTAAAGGTACCTGGTAATTTAAATCTACAGTATCATAAAACAGTTTCATATAAACGAACTAGAAATTAAAAATTAACTCAATATTGCAACAAAATATTATAGAATCTGATATGTGTATGGTGATTATCAATTAGAAATAGTCAAAATAATCAAGAAAAAGGCCAAAAAAAATAAAAAAAATATATGAAAATAAATATTTGACATTACAATAAATGCAGCTTTGATCTTAACTTTGTTGATGTCTTTTTTCAAGAGGAAAATAGATCCCAAACCCACCAAAAAAAATACGTTCAGCTCTGATCTTAATTTTGTTGACATTTTATTTAAAGAAAAAAATAGATCCCTTCCCCACCAAAAAAATATGCTAGTTTGGCCTTTTAAAACTTGTAAGACTGAGATGAGATAAATCTGTTTCGTAACAGTAAATTATATGAAGTCTATTCTACTCAAAGCAGTGACCTGTACCAGGGAATGCAGTAAAACTTGAATTCAAATGAACAGAAAAAAACATCTATTAACTAATAATAAAATCTACAGTAGCAAATTTTTAAAATTTACTGGCCTCAGAAAACGTTCTAATTAAGGCAGAAGTAGCAGAGGATACAACTGAATTGTTTATGTCATGACTTCTCTTTGATACATACGCTTTAGATTCACGTCCCGTTCTAGAGGACTTCCCGGAGACACTTGTCTTGGAGCTCTCCTGTTTGACTTCTACTTCCTGTTGGGTCAAGGACTGTTGCGCGGCCGGGCTGGGAACACAGATGACACCACACGTATATATACACAACACACCCTTCACCAAAGACCTTTCCTAAATCACATACGAATCTCCAGAATTCATCTTGCCGACCCTCCCTATTTAGGAAAGAGACTCCCAATTTTGGACCCTTCGATTTAGTGTTTTCAACCAGTGAATTTGTTGAACTGTTCCTATATTCTAAGATCTAATGATTTCATCTAAAAGAACAACTCAAAATATGTCATTTATGATTTTAAAGGGTTATTTTGTGTCTAGGGGGTATGTATAATACACACATTTTATTTATGATTTAATTCTGAGCATGCAGAATCTACCCCATGGAAATTTCCGAAAGTTTGCTAGTATAAATATTTAGGTTTTTTTTTTTTTTTTTTTTTTTTTTTTTTTATCTTTTTAGAAATAATTTGCTTTCTGAAGCAAATTTTAAAATAACTGAAGTCAATAAAAAAGAAAAATCTACCAAAGTCCTGAATACATTTTGTTTGAAATTTGGAGAAGGTCAATACAATCATTGATATTATATCCATCAACCATACATATCACACAGCCAATGTAAATACATGTTTAGACAATCCACAGATCACACACAAGTCAGTTAATGATGTACTGAATATCAGCTTATTTTCCATAATGCAGGTTAAATGAATCAGTTCAAAATCAAATATTATCTTTTAATTTTCTCTTTTTTTCTTCTTGTACAGTCTGCCACCATGCGTGGTCAAACAGATGTAAAAAAAAAAGTGATTTCACCACTTTAATTGCCGGAAGAGCAAAATATATCTATATCCAAAATAAGCTGATACATGGTAAAATATTCATATTATAAACAGCTCCCATTACATACAATTATGACCATGTAAGCTGTTTATCGAAACAGGTTTGGGGAAACAAATAGCCATTTTGGATTGACACAGGAACATCAATGCACGAGAGAGTCTACTAAAGTTGCATAAGGGTGAAAAGGTTAAAAGAATAATTATGGCTATACATGTAGTTATGGTAAATTCTCTTGGTATTGCCGACTGGACCAAGTGCTGATTACTTATTAAATAATGTCCTGGTATGATGCACAGTATAGACATATTCATTGAAATATCATAAATAAATTGTCAATCAAATTTTTAATTTTGCAGTAGACACCTACGCTGGTTTGGCATTGACCAATAGAATGGCACGCTTGTCATTCAGTTCTTGTTTACAGCAATCCACAAGTGTCATGAACTTGCTTCCGGATCTCAGCTGGCCGGCATCATAGAAACCGTTCTCTGTGAGGTTTGTTGAACCTGTAACAAAATGTATGTATCTATAGTACAAGCACACATCCCAATAACACATACCCTACGTACATCCTTTATCAATCGTGTTCACTTTCACAATTTTTGGCTCATTTACTGTAAAACATTTTTTTTTAACTCATTCACCAATGAAGACACATTTGAACTCTTCCAATTCAAAGGTTGGAATAGTTCATTACAAAATTTCAGGGATGAATGAGTTAATTAAACAGCTTATTATTTGAAAAAAATATATACTTACTGATATCTAATGTGAGGGCGTACTTACCTGACAATAAAGACTCAGTAAGGTTTCATGTGAGGGTGAACTTAAACTGACAATAAATATAAGGACTTAAAATAAATAAAAAAAAAATGTTTTTTTTGTTGGGTGTACTTAATTGACAAGGACTTACTAAGGTTTCCTGTCAGAGCATATTTGGCAGACAGATTGCTGTCTAGGAGACGTTCCAAGGCTGCTTCCGCAAATGGATTCTTCCTGGTGCCCGACACCTGGATTTCTTGCAGGATATCCATACCTCTGTAAAAGTGAGAGGGAAAAGTATGACATCAAAAATAAATAAACTAATAGTTTTGTATTAAATGCAGTACTTAAATGTTTTGATGCATGTATGACAAATTTAAAGGATATAAGCAAACTTTTTCATATAAACGTAGCACCCTAGTTTGCTATCCTTTTTTCTTATATGTATGTATTGTGTGCGACTTGAGTTGTCAATTTTTGTATTTAACAAATGTTATCAGGAAACGACATAAAATGGTATTTATAATCTTTTAATCATCCAAACGGTAATTAAAATACTTACCCCAGTTTACACACTTCTGTGGCCGTAGGTTCGTCTACGGCACACACTGTGATAGCCCATGACGCATTCCGCCGCACTTCATCGTTCCCAGAATGTAAAAGGATGACTAGGTGTTCAATTCCACTTGCGTTTCGGAACTCTGCTCTCGAGTCTGAATCACACACGTAGGCGGCTATACACAGCGACGTCTTCGCCTGGACCATTGTGTTTCTGTCAAACACACAATAGTGGAGAGGTAATGACACGCAGTAAAAACAACAAGAGTACCGCGCATCGGAACAATATACGCCCGTTGAATGCCATTATGATAGTGTTATATACTTTCCTACAATAAAATAAGATCTGCATCATTCTAAGAGTGGTTAACTGACATGCTATAGAAAATGTAGGAGAAAATCTCCGGACAAAAAATCAAATACCGAAATGAACAAAGGGCAATAACTTTTGCATAAATTATTGAATCAAAATTCTTTTCAAGGAAACACAACAACATATCATGATTATTAAGCCTACTAAGTTTCAAAGAAATCCGTCAAAGAATGTAGGAGAAGATCTCGGGACAAAAATTCAAATACTGAAATGAACAAACGGCAATAACTTTTGGAAAAATCGTGGAATCAAAATTCTTTTAAGGGAGACACAACTTCATATCATGATTATAAACTAAAAAACTTAAACACCTAAATCCCCAACATATTCTGGTTCCTACATGTACCTGGAATTGTGGCCTTTTATGGAGGTAGTACCTACCTTGACTGGACAACCCCCCCCCGGGTGGTAAAAAAAAAAATTCCCCTGCACTTTCGGGTGGTACCTAACAGGAATTTAAGTGACAGTGAAATCTACAGTAAAGCCTTGATAAAATACCTCTATTTTCACTTGCCACATCACTCATGGTCAAAATATTTCATGGTCCCCTTGACTTTCTTTCTGTACAATGTCTTGCTTAATATATTGTCAAATACCAACATAACTCCAACATTTTGCTGGACAAATGGTGTAAATATAACAGGATATCGCAGTAACTTGACTTGAGGCCCTCTATGAGAATTCTGACAACCCCCTCCCCCTGGACCTCTTTGTGGTTGACAACCCCTTTTCCTTGAGCCTCAATGTGAGTAGTACTTACTTTGACTTCAGGCCCTCAATAAGGGTGGTGCCGACCCCTTTTCCCTGGGCTTTAACTTGAGTGGTACTTACTTTGACTTCAGGCCCTCAATAAGGGTGGTGACGACCCCTTTTCCCTGGGCTTTAACTTGAGTAGTACTTACTTTGACTTCAGGCCCTCAATAAGGGTGGTGCTGACCCCTTTTCCCTGGGCTTTAACTTGAGTGGTACTTACTTTGACTTCAGGCCCTCTATAAGGGTGGTGACGACCCCTTTTCCTTGGGCTTTAACTTGAGTGGTACTTACTTTGACTTCAGACCCTCTATAAGGGTGGAGCTGACCCCTTTTCCCTGGGCTTTAACTTGAGAAGTACTTACTTTGACTTCAGGCCCTCTATAAGGGTGGTGACGACCCCTTTTCCTTGGGCTTCCACTCGCAGAGCTTCTTCAGTGGCCATGTTGGTGAGGACACACGCTGCATTAGCCACTGCCTCCTCCCGCGGGTCGGTCAACAAGTTTATCAAAGTTTCTGTACCACCAAAATTACTGACTTCCCTGAAAATGAATTGATCTCTTTAATGTTTAACTAGAAAAAGGCAATATCATTTCACAGTAGAATATTCTGATGTTGTCTGAATTTTTCAAGACACTGACTCTGCTACCTTGCTCTAAAGTATTTGTAGCGTTGGAGGTTGTGAGAATAGCTATGTGCTAGATACGTACTGACAGTTGGTACTGTTGGAAGTCGTGAGATTAGCTAGTGTTAGATACGTACTGACAGTTTGTATTGTTGGAGGTCGTGAGATTAGCTAGTGCTAGATTCGTACTGTATTGTTGGAGGTCGTGAGATTAGCTAGTGTTAGATACATACTGACAGTTTGTATTGTTGGAGGTCGTGAAATTAGCTAGTGCTAGATTCGTACTGTATTGTTGGAGGGCGTGAGATTAGCTAGTGTTAGATACATACTGACAGTTTGTACTGTTTGAAGTCGTAAGATTAGCTAGTGTTTGATACATAATGACAGTTTGTACTATTGGAGGTCGTAAAATTAGCTAGTGTTAGATACGTACTGACAGTTTGTACTGCTGGAGGTCGTGAGATTAGCTAGTGTTAGATACGTACTGACAGTTTGTATTGTTATAGGTCGTGAGATAAGCTAGTGCTAGATGCGTACTGTATTGTTGGAGGTCGTGAGATTAGCTAGTGTTAGATACATACTGACAGTTTGTATTGTTGGAGGTCGTAAAATTAGCTAGTGTTAGATACATACTGACAGTTTGTATTGTTTGAAGTCGTAAGATTAGCTAGTGTTTGATACATAATGACAGTTTGTACTGTTGGAGGTCGTAAAATTAGCTAGTGTTAGATATGTACTGACAGTTAGTACTGTTGGAGGTCGTAAAATTAGCTAGTGTTAGATACGTACTGACAGTTTGTACTGTTGGAGGTCGTGAGATTGGCCAGAGCCAGAGATGCGCCCTCTTTTACATCTCCATTATCAGAGTTGAGTAGTTTGATTAATGGCTGCATACCATCTGAAAAGACAGAGATTTAAAGACAAACTGTTTAGATACACAAGTTACAAGAATGAAAGTTTATCACCAATATCAACATTCTAATTTAACACATATTTCTATTTACATCATCCTCTGACATTCTGTAGAAATGAAATTTGTAGTAAGTACTTTTTTGCATAGTTTAGCATCTGATATTCGGCCCTATCCTCTTCCACCAAGATTTTATCATTTCATCACAAATTTGATAATGTAAATGTTGGATTACTATGATTTTTAATAAGTATATGAAGTGAAAGCACCGCAAATGTTGTATTTTTTAAAAACTTTCATTGAGCAATTGTGATTCTTTAAAGTCTTCAGGACTTATCATAATATTTTCCTGGAAATTTTCTGATCATTACCCCATTCTCTGATGGAATCCTTTGACATGAGATTCTCCGACATGACGGCTAGGGCCTGTGCGGCCGCTGTCTGTACCTCCGAAGACTCGTGGGCCAGTAGGTGTATCAACATCTTCTCCGCCTCCTGTTCATGTAAGATCTTTCTGTTCTCAGCTGAAACACCACATAACAATGTTAATGACTACTTATTGTTAATGTTCTACATCACTCAGATTTAATACAACTGGTTGCATTATCTTAGTTGTGGCAAAGACTTGAAATCTGCAGCAAACAAAAAGATTAAATTTCATACTGAAAACTGCATACCTGTATGCTAAATGACATGCATCTTTGCAGGTCACAACCACAAAATTAACCTATACTATCACCTGTGGTTACCTGTCTAAACTGAACCCATATCCATACTTCTATTAGACTACATATTAGAAATAGAGAGGTTTCAGTTTTGACAGATTCAATATATACTTACAATACTTAAAATCTTGGGTTAAAGATTTGAGCTAACATTTCAAAATCTTGAAAAAAATTAAAAAATAAAATCAAAAGTAACAATATCCTGCAATCCTGTTGATTTTTTAATTCTGTCACAAAGCACAATTGAAATATAAATTTTATCGTCCTGATATGTGCATGAGTGTTGTTTTATCTATACTGACATGTTCTTTCTGAAATGCAAAAAAGTCTGGCCTGGTTTTTATTAATACAAGGGAGGTAACTCTGTTTTCCCTATGACCAAAACCTACAATTCCTGGCTGACCTAGCGATGGCTTTGGCTGCACTCATCTTCACATCTGGTAAGGTGGGGATGATAGCTTCCCCTGGAGGTGTATCATCTTTTTCTGGTTCTGATCCACCCTTTTTACCTGCGGAATACAAGTATTCAAAACTTAACTTGATATTACGGTTTATTTCTAAAACTTTCATGCGGCATATGATAAATTATGAACAAATTTCGAATTTATGTTATAATGCTACATTTTGAAATCTTCAAAAATAATTAAAGAATAATAAAATTCTTAAAAACTACTGATAAAGGCAAGATAGTTTCTATAATTTGTGAACCGCTTTGAGACGACCTACGAACTAGGTTGTGATAAAGCGGTATATAAGAATTAACCTTCAATTATTATTATTATAAAAATTAATGAAATAATTAAAGTAGACCAACCGAAAAAACTATGATTTGTTTCTGAAAGCTGGTTGTCCTTGCTACAAACTAGCTAAGAAGCAGAAAGTCATTCTATACTGCCTTTGCAAGAAATAAATAAGTAAATAACACAAACTTTTGTCTACTTTCCTACCATAGCGTTGAAATATTAAGAAATAAATATTTTGTATATAAAAACCTCACATTGAGATAATTTTACATCACCAATATGACACATTTAACTGAATGATATAAATGACTGAAAGTGTACATCTTTTAAAACATTTCTGCGATTATATCATAACTGAAAGAAAAGCTATTATTTTACCATCCTTGGCACTCTTCTTTGCAGCTCTTGAGCCGGCCTTTTTCTCGCCCTTCCCACCCTTGGGCTCCTCCTCGGGTGGGGTTTGGTCCGTGATGAGGGCTACCAGACGTTTAAGTCCCCCAGTCTCCTTTACCTCCTACAGGAAGTACAGAAACTTTTTGTAGAGTATATTAAGGTAAAGGGAAGAGAATAAATGATGCAAATCCTATGTGAACTTTTAAATGAATAGTATCAACTTAATGATGTAGAAACTTAAAAAAAATTATGATAACTGATTTAAGCCTCCTGGAATGTAGGAATAGCAGATTGGTGAGAAAATACAAAAATGTGGGTCTTTTTAATGGGCACAACTAGAGACATAGATGATCAGTCTGACTCTTTTCAATCTTTTAGTATTTCAAAACAAAAATCTTACAGTTAGTTTGTTAGATTTCTGTGTTTCTTTTCCAAGGAGAGTATATATATATACCAAGGTACAATGTATATATGAAAAATTAAATATCTTGCTGATATTTATTCAGACAAGTTTAAAGGAACAATATACATTTGCTGTTCATTTTGTGATTCATACAAATCCTCATGAATAAGCTATTTGAAGCATAATTTAAAAAAAAAAAAGGTGTATCTGGGAAATTTAAATGATTTACAGTGTAACATTTACTAAAAAACAACGGGCAACCAGCCTTGACACATGAGTGAAGAACAACGGGTGGCCGATGCTGTCCCTGGCTATAAAGGGTAGACCACCGGATTCATTGATGTTTTAACTGCAAAATTGGATTTAATTGGCAATTTCAAAAGAAATAAAGGTCTACCTCCAAGCTTTCCAAATCCTCTAGAAGGTTTGACAGGACCATGACAGCCATTACGTGAAGGTCATTCAGCTCGGGTTTGGCCACAAAGTCTATCAGTCTGGACATGGCCTCTAACTCCCTTAGGGCTCCACGATTATCAGCTACAATGGCAGATAGAAAAATACAGAAAATGTTCACACCTGAATTTAATTTTGGGAGATAGAATTTTATGGTAGATTGGTTAAGATTTTAACAAGACAACACTCCCATTAGACTTCATCCAGTACATTGAGGGGGCTTAGAATTTTCATTTTGGTTTCATTTTATAGATTTTTCAGAATACATGCTCATTCTTAGTTAAGTGATACGATGTGAATGAATATATATCTCAAAAGAAGCTAAAAAGCAACAAAAACAGAAAAAATACATTTTTTTGGTAAACGTTTGACAAAATTTATGACAACTGTTTTGGTTGTAAAAATTATACTTCGTCTTTTCCCTTAATTTTATGTCAAGTGTAAACTGCTTTACTGTAAATTGAATGCAGACCTTTACACTTATGTCCCATTCAGACAATTTTATACTCCAGACATGTAACAGTGGATAGTTAACACATGTGCAGACATCACTCGATATTTATTATATCGTATCAGTAACAAGCCGACTCCCACACTTTTCCCTCCCCGCCCAGGGTGCCAGACAGGGTCATACAAACCTGCTTCATTAAAAACAGGTTTACATTCTACAGTTGAAAAACTTCATACTTACTTTAATACAACTTGTACATCAAACTGAGAGAAATCTCAGACAACCCTATATCAATCAGAAGTTAATTCCCCTGGGAAAGCAATTTAAAGGGCAAGATTCAAAATATATAATTTTTTATATCATTAATTAAAAAAGAAAGTTTATAATTAAGCACTAATGAGAACATCAAATGTTCTCATGTACGCTGACAATCTCTTATTTAAAAGTTAAACTCTTAAGAAGAAATGTTATTGATGATTTAAATGATTTCTCGCAAAGAGATTTTATTACATAAATTCAAAGGAGGTGCAAGTTCCACTTAATTTCAAACCAATCACTGTCAAGTATGTACATGTATTTCTACATTTCCCTGAGGATGTCTGGTGTGTATATACAACTTTGATTACTAAGTGGTACACAATCTACAAATAATTCAATATCTACGTTATTCAAAGACCTTTACATTTTATAAAATGATGACATTAGGAAACACTTCACACATATCCTTTCTGTAAATTAACAGAAAAGTCAATCTTAATTTCCCAATGTTGCATGCCTATAATACCATTGTCCATAACCCCTTAACTGTGCTACGAATACATAGATGTTATTACTTAACCCTTTCACCCCTGTGTAACTTTAGTAAACTCTTCCATGCATTGATCTGGATGAGTCCATTATGGTCTACAGTGGTGAAAGGGTTAAAATAGCTAGGAAAGCTGTATTTTACACAGAACCGGTGTCAAAATATGGATTATCAACCATATGAAGAAAAAAGTCTTGAAAATTAAGGTGTTGCTTAACCAAACTGATAAGTTCTACTGTATATAGTTGATTTACACTTGCTACCAGCCCCTAAGTAATTTTTGTATAAATTTCCAGCTGCAATTTTCTGCTAGCTGATCATGATCTCACCCTGGTTTGAAACTTAGGATTCAGAATCAGACATCGTCATCCAAGTGATTTATATTGCAAGTCCAATTTTTTTATGAAGAATTCAATATGCTAGAGACAGGGGCCAGTCTAATAGTCAATATTTATGGGGTTCTTCAGAAAAAATGGATGGGGATTGCTTTCACAGAAAACCTCATTACTTCTAATTCTGTCCATTTCCAAACATTTTTTTATTGTAAGCAAAGACTTATACAAAAAATTTGATAAAAACTTTCTCAATAACAGAAAACAAAGTGAAAAATATATAAAATATATCAGTTACTAACCAATCCATTGCTTGTTCATCATCAATTTTTTTATGAATAGACTCTGATTACTTGGTAAGGACAATGCATTCATTTCTAGGTTTAATACAAAAATATATTTTACCTAGTATTACAATCTATCAATATCTGTCCCATTACATGAATTATTATTTTTCCCATTTGATTACTACCGTATATATGGCTTCACATTGTGAGGAAAAAACTACTCGTAATGAGGTAAAAACAGAAAATTGCCCATAATGTGAAAAATAAAAATTGACAGCATCCTCTCATGTCAATGAGATAAATAGCTAAGACCTTACCGTCTTGTGATGCCCTGTCCAATGCCAGCAGTGCAAGTTTCTGGACAATTTGAAAATCTGACTTGAGGAGGTCCAACATGGGAGCTAACCCTTCTGCATCCTTGATGGACGCTCGTGTCTGGTAGTCCTGACAATTGAGCAAAGAATTACGTAAATTTTATTTTGTTGAAAATTCAAACTATACATAAATCACATATGCTTCAAATTCTATTTCTTATTGTAATTTTGTTTTCAATTGATAAAGAAAATTATATTCACAGAGATGCACAGGTGAAATTGATTATGCTCTTGGCCATTTCAAAAACCCAATTTGTTTTAAAAATAATTTGAAATCATTTGTTGGTTTTCACACAGGCACAGGCAGTTTATTTCTATGCATATCAACTTGAATGTATTTAATTGCTTTCTTTTATCTCTAGGTATTTCCTAACAACATTGATAAATAGTGAAGTATGGCTATTTTACTATAATAACGAACTCTTCAATATGTATAAAACTTTCTGATAAAACAGATATGCACAATATTTTTTTCTCTATTTTGCCTTACCATCATCATCTGTGCGAGAGCTTCAATGCCATTTTTCTGGACGTCTGGATCATTAGAGTTAAGACATTTGACCAGTGGCTCTATTCCACCATTTTCGTAGATTGCCGACTTGCTACTGAATTCTGTTGCCATGTTGGACAGGCCCAGGGCTGAGAACTCGTGACATACTGAGTCTTCTGTAGACATTTCACAAAACAAAAATATATATCAATTTCTTATACAGTACAAATTGTAGGTTCCTAAAACTATCTTGAAATTGAATAAAATATGTTAAATTTTGAATAATGTAAACCATTCAAAATTGCATGATAGTTTTTTCTCCAATTAACTCATTCACCCCTGAAGACACATTTGAACCCTTCCAATTCAAAGGTTGGAATAGTTCATGATGAAACTTCAGGGGTGAATGAGTTTATATAGAATTTCACAACTACTTCTTATCTTGATAATTCTAATGCATCATAAATTCATGAGAAGCAAATGGTACCAAAAGTGTCAACAAAAATCCCATTTTTTTTTATGTCACTGTTATAACCCAAAAAATATACCCCCCCCCCCCCTTCCCCTATCATTCTTCCAATCAATACTGTAAGCACTAGAAGTAGGTTTTCCACGTCTGGATGTAGTTTAGCAGCGACTGATATGATACTTATGTCTCTGCATCAAGTATAATTTTCTTTGTCTCAGTAAAATTTTCATTTCCCTCATATCTAACCCAATGCATTTAACAAAAATACCTACCTTCTGGTGCTAACAAGGCAATAAAGATGGGGATACTTCTGTCTTTTTTCCTCAGGTATTTCCGTACATCAGCTATAATGCAGATTTGCACGAAAATTTAAGATAATCAAGCAAAAATATAAACATTAATTATTAAAGAATTGATATCTTGCTAAGTTATGCTAACCATATTCATGGAGATGGTCAGATAGCAGGTCTGAAGTTGATATTTTGACAAAAGAAATTAATATTTTAACTAATTAGTTAAGATTTTGACATTCTTTATGTAAGAAAAGGTTGACTTAATTACTGTAACTTCTAATAAAAAAAGAGAATCCGTCAAAAATATTTTCACAATTCTTAAAAAAGATCATCTTCAAAACTAAGGATTTTCTTAACCAATCACAATTACTCATTTTTTGAGAATTCAAGAAAAATACTTTACTTGCAATATGAAAAATTCCTTCAAATGTGTTGTAAACAATAAATATAAAAAATATTAATACAGTTAACTAATTGGAGGTTTAATGGTTTTAATTGTTCTTTTTGTGAGAAATCAGTGTCAAAACTTACGCTGAGCTGTCATTGAGCCCATAGCCATGCAGGCATTCCTGCGGACAAGTCTGTCCTCACTCTGCATCAGCTGTAACAAAGGATCTCCGGCCCCCAAATCTAGGAGCAGCTTCCTGTTCTCGTCACCTGTAAAGAAAGATGTTATTAGATTATCAGTCTAGGTTCCAAGATATCAACCAATCTAAGGGGACGTTTATAATCAATTAACATGCACTAAGCTTTTATTTTTTTTAAGAGCAGTGATGAATGTTTAAATATTATCTATCCAACCTACATTATTTCATTTTATATACAAATATATATAAAGAAAATTTGACAGCACAAGAACATTTTACAGTGACAAGAGTACAACTATTGTAAACATCTGTATAATGTTTAAGGGCAAACGGAAACTGCCTCCAATTCCAGGTGTCCAACCCATGGATAACAGCTCACCAAAATGCAAGTTGTAACTGTTGTTAAAAGAACTTGAACTGTTTGCCAACTTTAACTGCTTTTTATTTATTTACTTTTATTTTTACATGGATTCAGATTTGGAACTCATAGAAAAAAATAAACACTTTATACCTAAATGAACAATGGAACCCATGTCACTCATTTGTTCTTTTTAGGATAAAAAACCCCCCACAAGTAATTTCAGAAATACTTTGAGAATTCATTTTGAATTTATTCCAAAACCAGACGTCTCTGTGTGTTTGTTTTCAATCATGTTAGATCAGGGAAATTTGTATATTTACATTTCTCCACAAACTTGTAAATAGCCTCGCAAGCTTTGGCCTGAACTTCCTCTTCTGGGCTGTTCAGCATCAGAACCACCGTCCCAGCCTGACGACTTTCAAGGGCCACCACATCAAACTGAAAAAAAATGCAGGAATATATTTAGTTTTTTACAGTTATTATTATAAGCAGCACTGTCACAATGTAATTTGACCTCAAAACATTTCTGAAACAAATTTTTGTTAAAGTATACTTTCCAATTTTTTTCTTATTCACTTAATGTGAAAAAGGGTAATTATTATATAATACAGTTTAGAGACAACTGCTTCGATTTCACCAACTGATCATATAAGCTACATGTATGTATCTGGTCACCTATGATCAACCTATAGTCCTATTAGTATTATACACACGGAACACCAAACAGAAATTGAAAGGTTATCTAAAGAGAAATAATAATAATATTTTCTGGATTGTTTACCTAAACCAAAATATGTAAGACATCATAGATATCCAGCAGCATTTTTGCTGCCTTTTCCAGTATGACTGTTTTATTAGCCTGTTCCAGAAATTATAACATTTTGAGGTACACCACTCAGTACTGGAAACAATCACTAGACCATCATGGACATAGACCTGCAGCTTTTTCATAATGCTTTAATTGGATGTCTGTATAATTAACATATGCAATACATTATTTCAATCATTCTTTTTTCAGTTATGATATTGGGGTTTCGGGAGTGAAAGTAGACAATGAGCGCCATATCTAAGCAAGTGGGTATGTCTGGAATGACAATTAACCATATCCTTAACGATAAAATCTGACATATTTATTCATAAGACATTTATAAGGTAATGATTTAGTGTTTGTTGGACCTAACAAAAATCTACCAGTCAGGTCCAACAGTTTATAGTCAGTACGCACACAAGTTTCAGAACAAAGAACAAATTAAAAATAGTTACCACATCATCTGGAGGAGGTTTCTTATCTTCTTTGACCTTTTTACCCATTGTTGACACCTGCAATATGGAAAAAACAAAATTGAAAAGTTATAATACAGTATTCTATTTAATTAATCACTTAGGATAGTGGTGTTTTAACAACTTAACCTATTCTAAACATTATGATATCAACTTAGATCCTTCGATTACTCCTACGTCCGTACGTACTTCACAAATTTCGATATAAATCATGTTGTATGATATTGATATATATATATAGTTATGTGCCCCATATAGTTATGAACACATACACAACACAAATATGCCAGCTTTTGAGTAACAACATATTGATCTAGCGCTATTGAAACACGATTACACATGTGACATTAGTGATAAAGAAAGCAAATGGTACACTGATGGCGATGATTTGATGTCCAACGTTATAAACACAATCAGCTCGCGATACATTAAGTGAATGTCATGCAAGTTCGTCGCGTTGGTCCCTCTAATGACTTCCTAGATGCCTATAGTGGGTTAAAATGTGCCTATATATTAGCCATGAATAATAGAATCATCGACATTTATTCTATATCGTACGATCTACCTGCTTTAGCTGTTATGGTTATTGATACAGCTATGCCGCCATGAAAATGCTGTGTGTTGTTGCTATATGACGTCACTACTTTTGTTGAACTATATTGGTGACGACACATAAAATAGAGTCGACAGATGGCGCGAAATTCTAATTGTGTCAAACAGGTGCACGATCTTAAATAGCAACCGATTGTGATTCATTAAGCATGCATGTAGGTAGATCAAACAGATAATTTACCAAAAAACCCGATATATGTATAATGGTGAACGTGGATGTTAATAGGTTGATTTTTGTTAGATGTATCCTCATTTAAGACCATTTAAGCTAACTGGAGACTAAACTTTGCATTCTTTTCACAGATGTAGCGGAAACAGCGGACCCATGAATAAGTAAGAACATGAAACATGAACATGGTTTGTATAACGAGCAAATGCTAGACTAATGCATAACAGCGGTCTACATAAAAATTACATACTGTAATATGTGTCTGTGCATGCACAAGTAACATTTTTGAGAACTTGTGTGTAAAGTTTTTTTTATAATCTATTGATTTTGGCAGAGAATTCTAGATCTTTCATTTTCAACATAAAAAACGACAAAGATAATATCTCTAATCTGTTTAACTGTTGTCAACCTAGTCTACATCAAGACTGCAGGATATATATGTTCTACTTATATTCTCCCACAATGTATATGAGGTACATGCATGAGATTGAAGTTTTCTTTGAATTGTTTATTTAAAGAGTTCTAAACATTCCAGATAGACCCAACTGATTTAAACTTCGGGGATACCTCAAAATTAGAATATTGGTAAATAACTCCATGGTTTTTAGCACCCGCTGGAGATATATTGGGTGGTACGTGATTCTTTCCTCCAATCACCACCTGCACATGTACATGTGTTCACTAGCAACAGGTGCTATATATATAGCTAAGCTACTAATAAGTCAGTAGAGTTAACGTTAGTACATGTAATATATATATTTATTATGGCCTGCACTGACATTCATAAATATGGCATATATTGCTTTACAGAGTATTGATATATATCATTTTCATAATGATTTTTTTTTTAGTTTTTATTCTTTTTTATTGTTATAAATAAAATAGATTTAAAGCAAGATTCTGTATCCTTCAATTGTGATGTAGAAATGTTTAAGAATAAATATATTTCAGTTAACATATATATATATAGATGATTCCGATAAATAAACTTGTGAAATATCTTTAACAATTATAATTAATATGAATCATGTGATAAATGTGCATGGACACAATTTTTAACAGCATTTTTGAGTACATCAAGCTAGTGTAGATGAAAGATGACAATTGTTCTAGTTTATAAAAAATGGTGAACTAGCTAGCCTGATTTAAAGCCCTGGCAGAGGTTATTTTCATCTTTTATTACTATTTTACCCTCCTTGCTTTAAGTCACTCGATGACAAATGGCTTACTTGTAAGTTTTAGAATTCAGGATGACTGCATGCAGCCTTTGCCTCTGGTTGGTTGGTATGTTTGTATCCACAAGTTGAAGATTTATTTGGCGAGTTTCCCACCAAAAAGAACTTATCTTACAGGCATAAATGTTACAGCACTGTTGCAATATTTTATTTGAGACTTCAGGGAGAGTTTTGGGCACATTTGTAACAGCTCCAGTTTCGGTTGGATCTTGTTTAATAGTAAGTCTGTGGCTTACAATCAAATTTTCTTTTAGAAAATATACTAAGCTTTTAAAGTTTTATGATAATAATTAGTTTCACAACTGTATTGACCAAAATTTAAAGCCACAAGCAAGCATTTGTTGGAAAAGATCCGGATAAATCTGGTAGTTTATAGTGTCCAGCTGGTTATATTTATTACAAACAGAAATATAATATAAACTGATCAATTTGTTATGAATAGCTATGAGAATTTCTAGGGAAACCCTGATCCCCACACAGTCTCTATTCTTTAATTTCTTGCGGCCATAATCTGTATTTTCATCTGTATCTTTTTTTTTTTTACTTTTGTAGGTCAACATAATATAGTAGAGGAAGCCTCCTATGTAGATGTATGCTTAAAACAACTATTTGGAGATATGTTATCTTGCAGTGAACCTTGACACGGTTATCAGTTTGTCCAACAAGGCTGCAGACACATGGAGATCTCCCGATAAGGTTGTACTATAGTAAATGTCTCTGATAAAACATAGAAGTGCTGAATTTGAATTTATCTCCTCCATACGTCTATCACTGGTAGTATATATATATATACCCAAATTATTTATTAGATATCCTAGTCACGATTAATTCTGAACTAGGCCATACAGTTGTACCTCCGGCATTGGTTTTCCATCCTCTATGCTTTTTACTTTGTTGACCAAGAAATTTACCTTCATTACAAGTAACTTATTCACCCCTGTATACCCATTTGAACTCTTCCAATTGAAAGGTTGGAATAGTTCATTATGAAACTTCAGGGGTGAATGAGTTAATGCATATATATATATATATATATATTGTATAACAAATTTATCTGGGATTCTCCATCCACTGCATTAACAACTTTTAACACAACTTTATCAACATGTACACACAGCTGTCAATTAAGAAAGAGTTAACTATCAAAGAACCAGATTGGGTCAGTAAGAGTCACTATAAATTGCCATTAATCTTAAGCAATATTGAAGCATCTCGCTTATATTCCTTTTATTATATGTAAAATTGAAAGAAAATTGGTCCATGATGGGGTCTATTTCAGTTTTGAGGGGTTAATGGCCCCAAGGCCCCCTCCAGGATTATCACTGCATGCCCCCACCCCTCTACTCATTACATAGTCACTTCGTGTTATCATGCAGTGGCATGGGATACACCAGACCTGCAGCCACGCTGTAGGAGATATAACTGAATTGGTGACCCGTAAGAGTGAATCGTTCTGGCCCTTTTTATTTCTCTTCATGTTCAGACAATAACAGTAAATAATACATTAAATGATATAGTCAAAATTAAGGAATATTTACTGTATGATTTTATTACTTATAAGAAGATATATATCATTATAAAAAAAATGTAGATCATCTGTCCTCTGCACTCCATCTGTGCTTCCGGCACCCCTCTGTGTTGTGAAATCTGGTCTGTGTAGGTACACTGTATAGTAGTGTGTAGCCTACAAACCTATCATATATATACAAAACATTCGATCCTCACTAGAAGCTAGCTGCCAAAAGTTTTTGTGAATGGCATTTGCAGAGATCCATTAATATCTGCCCTATAAACCAGAAGTTCCTACATCTGTGTGGGCTGACCACTTGTTCAGCTCTACAAAAACTTATGTAGAGTAGGAAAATGGAGCAAGATGCCACAGTGAAAAAAATGGACAATATTTTCATCTTTCTTGCATTTCTTTCTTTGATGTAAAGAAATTTATCCAAGTCAGGTAGGTGAGTCTGACCCCAGTTTCATGAACATTTCTATCATGATTGAGAAAGTTCTAATAATTAAGTGATTTCTAAAGAAAATCATTTTCAATTAACTTTTCTAATGGAAAAGGTTCAAATATGGAATTTCCATTAAATATAAGAACTCTTGTGAAACTTGAGTCGGAGGACTTCACGATCACGCACTGATGGTTTTATAAATGTGTTAATTGATTTTCTTGTTTTTTTTTCCTTTTATGCTATAGGGTCGTTAAATGTAGTAAGTTTTGATTGTTAAAAAAGTGAATTTAATTAAGGCTGTTGAAGCATGCATGTAAAGTGCAAACATTTTAGTGTATATCATGGATACATCTTAATATACACTTCCAGAGAAGTTAAATTGAAACAACATGAATCGAGGCACACCTCTCTGTAGTAGAAAATTGCACTTTTATGAAAATTAGTTTTAGTAGGAAGTTGATTGAATTTAAGCCAGCACTATTAAAAGCATGTTATCTAATACCGTTGATAATTGTACTTTACAGCTCATTTCTGTCAGAAACATGGTGAAATTTTACAGATCAAAAACATAATACATGTCTGTCTTGCTATATATACAAGCTCGTATCATTTATAAATACATTTTGTACTTTTCGTATTTATGCATACATGTAAGAAATCCTCTAATTATGTTTTGATGTATGAATTTTCCTGACAGATCTTCGAGTCAATGATTACAGAGACGTATAGAGACGTATATATACGTCTCTGCTGCTTATAATTGGATGTCACCTTGGTTAAACCACTGACAGCTTCCTGCCGACTACTAGGGAGAATTTCTCATCAATTAAGCATATTTGGTAGAGTGTCCAACTAGTAAACTGGAAATCCCTGATTTTGCTCCCAATTGACTTAAAATTATTCAGATTCATTACAACTGTATAATGAAAGTTTGCTATTATTTTGCTGGATTTAGAGATGGTTGTTGTGCACTAGATGTTTGTGATTCAAGAACACTAAGGTCAGAACTTGCATCTTTACGGTGGATAATGTTTTATTATGGTATCTCAACATAGATTGTCTTGTATGCATTTATAATAAGCTTATAAATACTTATACATGTACATTGTAGTACAGTTTTCATCGACCAGGGGAGATAACTACTACGGCTCTATAACATTTGTTTATACAGTTCCATATATGAGAAACTTTTAAGTGTTGTTGAACATAATTTGAAACTTAAATTAAATTATAATCTTTGATCATCACATGCCATAAATGCCTATAATATGGTTTCCTGATTATTGTGAGCATAATAAAGATAAAAAGACCAAATACTATGGAAATATTGCAGGATTACGGGGCATCTTAACTATATGCTTTCACCTTGAATTTAATTGATTTCAAACAGAATATGCGATGTACAAATACAAGATATGTTTCTTATTTACGTTCTTAGTGTAACTTGAATTTCGGTATATTTTTGAAGTTGAATACATGTATGTAACCCAATAATGGTAATCAAAGGCCCACCTCTTGAAAACTCACAGATGCAGCATGAATCCTTCTTTAGAGATTTATACTTCAATGATTTCCTTGTATGATAACATAATTGTTCTGCTGTTTTTTAATGTAGAAAAAGGACTGAAAAATCTTATGAAACATTATTCTGTAAAGAATAAGAAAGAAAA